AAATCTCACATTTTATCATCACATTTTGTGATTTCATAGTAATACCAACTCATTTGGAGTACTTGCTGCTGTTATGTCACACATCATTTTCAAATTTTTTTATGCATCAAATTAAACAAATTTTCAACATAAATAAATATAACCAAAATTTTTGATTAATAAAAAACTAAAGTTTATTTCAACTACTATAGATGGCTAAAATTTAACTGAAGAGGGTTTATAACAACTTGTAAAAATTCTACTAATTCATCTTTAAGAAAATCACCAATAGAAGATTTTAGCCACATCAATTTAGACCTTATTTAATGATTTGAATAAGAACTTTAATAATATTACTGTAAAACTCACTCCTGATGGTTTTTCATTTTAATGATTGTGTAATTTTTTATAAATCCGGTCATACTACTTTATCTAACCCAATTACAAAGTGTATTCATGTAACCAACAAATTGTATGTTAAAATAATTTAATAAGGTTGACCATTGCTCTTTATATTGTAAAAACATAATTTCTAAGTATCTAATCATAATTTCTAAGTACATAATCAACAACCAGGACAATTTTTAGTATTGGATGAAGTACAACTAAATAAATATATAAGGTAACCTTTTCTTTAAGCTAATACCTATTGATGTTTTGCTACACTTATATTATTTAAAGAAATAAAGAAACTAAAGTCAGAAAGTATTTTAATAAATTTGAAAAGTTTCTGAAAATTGATACAGATCAATTTACTAGAAAAATTATGTTACTTACATTAGTAATTAGGGAAGTAGATTTTCATGTTGCTAGACATATAGCAAAGAAAATAAAAAAATGTTTTTGAATTTTTTGAAATAAATTTCCTAGTTGTGGTGATAAAGCAAGTCTGATTTAGCTTGTTTAGTAAAGATTTCAGTGTCTTTACTATTTTAATATATTTAAAATATTTACCAAGTCACTTTTATAAATTTATTCAGATTTTTACTTGCCACATGCATGACACAACTGGGATAAAACCTGCTTGAACAATTTTTATCAATATTTTTTTTATCAATTTTTTTTTACTATTAAAATTTTTTTATCAATAGTTTCTCATCAACATTTTTTTTTATTCATTAGTTTTTGGAAAAAAACTAATGGAAAATTATTTTTATTTTGTTGATAAAGAAAAAAATATTGCTAAAATATCTTTATGGTTCTTATTATTATTTTTATTTTTATTATTGTTATTATTACTATTATTATTGTTGTTATTATTTTAATTATTACTATTGTAATTAGTTCTTTATAAACACTACCTAGTAGTTCTTTATATATTGTTTGTCAATTATTTCAAGTCAAAATTTTATAATTAAAACTGGTTATCTTTTAATTTTAAACCAAAAAAGATTTGTTACAAAATATATGATTTTTTGTTGTTGCTGTTCCTTCTCGATTCATCATGTTATTGTGTAAAAACTTATGAATGTATACTTCTTACTATACTTCTTTTGTAAACTTTTTAGCGATTAAAGAAAATTAATTTTGCAAATATTCAAAAAGTTGAAAACATTAAGTTTTACAAATTTTCTTACCTTGAAGATCTGAAAGCCATTGAGGTTGCCTATAATGTTGTACAGCAACTGACACAGTATTTAAAAACACACACGTAATTATTGACCAATAGAACACTGAATGATTGACAAAGCGCTTTACTGCTAAACGAAACCTACGAAGCTTTTTATGAAGAAGTTCTTTTAGAGTTTGCCTAAAATGTTTTCAAATATTTAAAACTTGTTTTCTCAAATAAAATTATAAGAAGTAAAACAAAATATTTACTTTGGAGAACTGTTGTTCATATTGAGACGAAATTTTTTTTCAGATGATCCTTTCATTAGGATCTTTGTCATTCCCAGATTTATTCCGTCTTCTTTCTTTTTTTGGTTTCGAATGCGTTTTACTGGAATAAAAAAAAGAAGCATTTGTTCTACTTTAAATATCATTTATAGTATTATAAACAGTATTTAAAAAAAAAATGTTTTAGTTTTTGTACTTATTTATATTATTATATTTTTACCACCTTATGCATAGAATTACAAAAGCCTAACTTCTTCATCCACATACTTTTTCCACAAACTTATTTTTTTCTGTTGATCTTTATTTGTAAATGTTGTTAGCATCTAAAAACGCTAACAACATTTTCGGTTCAAATCATTTCTTCTCCTACCTGCTATCTTTGCACTTTTTTTTTATATATCTATTATATATGGGGGTTACATTGACTAATCCAAATTTCAGTCTCACAAGTGGTGTGAGCTGATGTGAATTTCAATGTTTTGTCACACTGAAATTCACACCAACTACTTTATAGAATAGACAGCTGGTGTCAGAACCAACCCTAATTGATGAAACAAACTTGCCATTGGTTGACCATTTATTCCTAACCAATAACTCACATGACTCACCACTTAAACCATAAACGAGGAGACAATATTTATATATAAACTGTAAAGATACAACTTATTTCTGTTTATAAAAAGCTGCATAAAGTAATTTATATAACACAAGGAGTGGCATCGATATAAATTCAGTTGACTACTTTTTAAAATTTGAACAATCCAATCCATTCAAAGTTTAATTTAAAGTTCAGCTTAAAAGTGAAAAATGTCTAACAGCATATTGCTTAATTGTTGTTCCAGTGTTTAGGAAATCTGATAATTTATTTTATATAACAATCTTTTAATATATATCTTAAATAACTGAAGATCTATTAAATAAAGTGGTACGTCCTGCTTTTATGCAAGTTTTGCAATTAGAGAAGAAGAAAGCCATAAATAACCTCTGTTAAAAACATAAAAAGTTTTAACCTAAGATTTGTACATATGTGCTTATGTTGGTCCACTTTGCACAACATTAAAACACAGTCTTTAAAATGTGAACATTATTCAACAATGCAGTCTTCAAATTGTAAACTATATTCGAAAATGCATTCTTTAAAATGTAAACTATATTCAACATTACAGTCTTTAAAATGCAAACTATATTCAACAATGCAGTTTTTAAAATGTGAACTATATTCAACATTGCAGTTTTTAAACTGTGATCTTCAACGAGGTTATTCACACATATTGGTGCTTTGAATACTTTGCTTAAATTAGACATTAATATCTCTTTAGGAAATAATTATTAAATATAATATATTATTAAAGAAATAGGAAATCTGATAAACTATTTCATATAACTATTAAAATATAAACATTTATTTTTTAATATATAATTTTAACATATAACTAACATTGATGATTCTCTTCATCTTCTTCGCGATTTATTGCTTGTTCTGCAGCATCAATCCAGTCCATATAACCATTTAATGCCCTGTCAACTTGTTGCCCCTGACGGAGGAGCAAAAATGTAGTTCTATTTTCAACACGCTCCCTCTCTTTTCCAAATTCTCTAGTAAAAGAAAGAATGAATTCATAACAAGTAAAAAGAAGTTTGTTAAAAACTTATAAAAATTTATAATTTAAAACCTACCCACTCAACACACCAAGAACTAAATTAAGCATAAACTTTGCCCCAATAATATTCAATGAGTAGTAGTATATCCAAAAGAACAACCCATTTTTGTCATACACATCAAAAGTCTAAATTAAAATATATATATATCAGAATGCAGGTTTAGCTGCCATACAGAAATAGTCATTTGGGGGTTCAGCGCATTCAAGCAATATAAAAAAAATTTACTATGGCAAAAAAATATTAGTATTTTCATTATTCTTCTTCTTTGTCAGAAAAAATGTCTAGAATATAAAAGTCATTTTGAAAATTAAAGTGACCAGAAAATATTAGTGCTAAACTGAATTAAGTCAATAGTAGTTTAGATATTGCAGATCAACTATTAATGCATTATGCTCACTGTATATTTTTACGTTTATAAATATTTGACATGGATGATCCCCATGACCCAGGAAGTGACATAGGCTATGTCAAGTTGACCTCAAAGGTCACTGGAGGCCGCTCGGGGTCGTCGGAGCTTTCAAATGGTCATTTCTGGGTCGGGGGGTCAGATAGAGTGTTCCTTGTAAAGAACAGAGTTGTTCCTCGCCCCCAGGGGTGGAGGTGTGGACAACCTTGGGTGTGACCTTGGGGGTTGCTGGAGGTTAGAATGGTCTGGGGGACAAGTTGAGCATTTCCTATGATGTGATTTTTGTTGGTTTCTGTTGTGTTCCATGGATTGCTGCTACCAATTTTGTCATTTTCCAGAATTTTCTGGAATGTTTCACGTTTTTCTGGAGTCGGCCAGAATTTTCTGGAGTGGTCCAGAGTTTTCTGGAATGTTCCATAGTGCACAATGTGACTGTTCCATTACCTTCCAGAGCATTCAGGGGCTTTCCAGAGTGTTCTGTGGTGCTCTTTGGCTCCGTCTGGAGCCTTACATGGGAATGTAGGTGGATCACCCAAGATCACACATAGCTCAGTTTTTAACGGGTTGCTGAGGTGAACACATCATTTTTGGTCCAACATCCAATCCAAATACTCAAAGTTCAAAGAATTTAAGAAATCTTCAAGATCAATCAAAATTTAAAATTTAAAATCACTGATCAATGTCTAAAATAGCAGAAAGACAAAGTTGTTAGTTTTTTGCGACAAATGTTGACACAATATTTGTTACAGGTAAGACACAAAGTATCAGACTTTAAAAAAGGAACTTTGGGAAACATTGAAAAAGTGTTTTTTTTTCCAAGAGACACCAGTACTTAAACATTTTCTTTGTGGTGGCAAGGCTTACAGTTGTTTCTAAATCTTAAAGTATAATTTTTTTTGTGATGAAAATAAATTTTATGATGAAAAGAATCCAGGGAAAATATCCAGGGAGCTAAAAAAGTTTGTCTTAAAATATTTTAGAGCAAACTAATATATATATATATATATATATATATATATATATATATATATATATATATATATATATATATATATATATATATATATATATATATATATATATATATATATATATATATATATATATATACATATATATACAGGCCTCAGCGGAAAGCAAGAGCTTTAACTCTCGCTTTTGCCCACACTCTCCTGAAACGGTTTACAAGAGCTATCAAAACACGCTAAAATGCTTATCAAAACACGCTTTAGTAAGTGTATATATATATATATATATATATATATATATATATATATATATATATATATATATATATATATATATATATATATATATATATATATATATATATATATGTATATATATATATACACTTACTAAAGCATGTTTTGATAAGCATTTGCTCACTTTTTGTGCTTAATTCAAGGTAAACCGTTTTTTTTTGAAAAAGAAGAAGAAAAAAACGAAGAATGATAAATAAAACAATTGCTTCCCCATCCCAAACCCTCAGTCAATGTAGCAGCACTTCACTGCGAGTCAGGCTATTTGTCAGTCGTTGTATGTACTGAAGCCCCCAGCAGCCGGCTATTTCAGTATGACGTCAGATTGCTTACCAAAGTATGCAATACTATTTGTATATATAAATATATATATATATATATATATATATATATATATATATATATATATATATATATATATATATATATATATATATATATATATATATATATATATATATATATATATATATATATATATATATATATATATATATATATATATAGGCCTATTGTATATTATGCAATTAATTTTTTTAAAATGACATTGTGTTTTTTATTTTATTTAAAATGATAATTATATTTTTGTGAGAGCCGTAAATAGCTCTTGTAAACCGTTTCAGGGGAGTGTGGGCAAGAGTGAGAGCTAAAGTTCTTGCTTTCTGCCGAGGCCTATATATATATATATATATATATATATATATATATATATATATATATATATATATATATATATATATATATATATATATATATATATATATATATATATATATATATATATATATATATGTATATATAACCGCTATTATTTTAATTCCATCAGTAATACAAGTAATCCTAACCCTAAATTATACTCAATTAACTCTCTTTGCCTGATGAAAATACATTTTAAGAAAAATATCAATAACCCAAACTTAGACCCACTGTCCATCGTGATGGACACTTCATTTGTTTGACTATAAAATTTTACCAAATTAAGTTAACTAAATATATTTTGTGTTAAAATATCCCCAAGATAATATTAATAAATAATATAAATGGTTTTAGCGTGAAAAACAAGATTTAAAAGTAGAAATTTCAATATTTACCTGGTTGTTTTGTGTAAAACGTTTTCCCCAAATTTGTTGTCTTTTTGTAGCAAAGACAATTATATTTCTTGTTTTTTAGCCTCAGGATTATGCGACTACTATGTCTATTGTAATTTATAGTGATTTTGAATTGATAACTTGTTGTATTAATAAACTATAAATTTTTAATTGTTGTCCATTGTAATGGATTCGGGATCTGAAGAGGATGTGTGTATATATATATATATACACATCCTCTTAAAAAATATTTTTTATGATAACTTACTACTGTTTACATAATCTTGGTATTTTTGGGGTTTTTAAGAGGGGGAATCTGGAGTTTTCTCAAAAACCTGAGTGGTAATGTTGTATCTAACTGGAAAAATCATGGGAAATAGAATTCCTAAAGAAATTAAAAAATTGTCAGATGATAAAAGTCTTTCTAGACTGGGTCCTGGAGCACTTGATGTAATTGTAAGGCAAAATGGAAAAATTGCTTTTTTGAAGTGTATATATGTATATATGTATATATATATATATATATATATACACTTCAAAAGATATATATATATATATACATATGTATATATGTATATATGTATATATATATATATATATATATATATATATATATATATATATATATATATCTATATCTATATATATATAGTAAAAGAAAGAATGAATTCATAACAAGTAATATATATATATAAAACCATATTTCACTAATTTTTTAAAAATTATATAATAATGATTCTGACAATGATTCAGTGATTTAATGATTCAGTGATTCAATGATTCAAAAATTATATAACAATGATTCTGATAATGATTCTGACAATGATGATGAGAGTGATGCCTTCTTCTAACACCTCAAAAAAATGCTTATTGTGGAAGCATGTTGAATATTTCTCGCCAAATATTGTTACTTTTAATCCTATTCCTGATTGGGTAGATAAAAGAAGTGAATCGAATACATTGGATTATATAAAACAATACCTCGATAAAGAGTTTTTTGAGCAAATAGCATTTTGCACAAATGTCAATTCAACAAATCGAACTAGTAAAAGTTTAAATACCACATCAATCAAAACTCAACATTTTATTGGGGCTAGTTTATTGATGTCTAGCATATCATACCCCCAACTGCATATATTTTGGCAAAAGACACTTAGATTACCAGCCATTGCTAATGTTATATCAAGAAATAGATATTTTTAGATCCAAAACAACTTGAAGGTTGCTGTGGTTGATGTGACAGATGAGCAAAAAACAACTGAATCATCTGTAAAAAGTCAGACCCATAATGGATCGTGTCCAAAAAGGCTGCTTTTTACTGCCAAGATGCCAGGACTTGAATATTGATAAACAAATGATCCCATTTACAGGAGCTTGTTATCTTCACCATTATGTTGCCAAAAAGCCAAACCCAATAGGGCTAAAATGTTCTTGCCAATTCCAATGGCTTCGTTATGAATTTCATAGAAGACCAAGGGGCAAGAACATATTAATCCTGTTCCAGATCAATTCAAAGTTTTATAAGTAAATTATAAAAATTTACTTAGTAAATACCTATAACAAAGTTTCTTTAGTTGTTTAGTAAGTTAATTTAGTTGTTGTAGTTAATTTATTATACCATAGTATACTTTTAGTTGATTTTATTTTTGGTTTTTTTAATTTAAGGGCTATTTTTAATAGTGAGGCCTTTATCCACCGTAATTACGGGCAAATTCATGTAAAAAAAAAATATTTTTTATGATAACTTACTACTGTTTACATAATCTGGGTATTTTTGGGGTTTTTAAGAGGGGGAATCTGGAGTTTTCTCAAAAACCTGAGTGGTAATGTTGTATCTAACTAGAACAATCATGGGAAATAGAATTCCTAAAGAAATTAAAAAATTGTCAGATGATAAAAGTCTTTCTAGACTGGGTCCTGGAGCACTTGATGTAATTGTAAGGCAAAATGGAAAAATTGCTTTTTTGAAGTTGTTTGACAACAAATCAATATTTTTAGTTTCAGCATGTTATGGTTTGCTACTGTCATCATTGAGAAAAAAAAGAAAAAAGTGTGTCACAGCCAGTTATCATTAGGGAATTTAATTCAAAGATGCAAGGTGTAGACCTTTGTGACAGAATGATGAGTCACTACCAGATGAAAGCCAAGACCAAGAAGTGGACAGTTCAAGCCATAATGTATTTCATTAATCTATCCCTGACAAATGCATAGATTAGGTATCGAACTAACAAAAGTGAACTTGGTGCTGTTCGCAAAGATATTCTCAGTTATCTAAAATTTCAAATGGATATTGCAGAAACCTTCCTTGCAGCAACTAAAATTGAAAGCTCAGAAACTGATATAGAGAAAGAGCAACCTGTTACAAAAAGAAAAAGTGAGCGGATTCCATTAATCCAACATTATTTATTATCCACTAATCACATGCCAAAAATGGACATTTGCAAGAACTCAACACGATGCAAAAATACTGGGTGTTCAGGCAAAACAAGATTAATAATGTAAATATATATATGTATATATTTATATTACATGTTGGTACTATGTTTACTATGTTAGTAAAAATATTTTTGCAGTAGGATGGGTTTTTTAAAACCACATTCATACATATGTACACATACATACATACATTTAGATTAGCAATTAAGTTCTAATGTTGCGCGAAGAATTAAGTTGAGCGCGGTACTACCAGGGATGTGGTAGGGATCAAACTCCGAACTTCTTGCTTATGAGGTGAGTGCTCTACCACTACATCACTACTGCATATATTATATACCAGTTTACCAATACTATATATCAGATTTCCTATTATCAACATTTAAAAAAATTTTAAAACAGTATCAATAGAAAATTAAAAGAATCAATAACCAAACCAAAAAGATCATTTAGCCAGTGTTTTTTTTTTTATCTAAGATTTAATTTCAAGTAAAAAGTGAGTTGATATAATTAAAAATGACTGAGAAAAAAACATTGTTTTAAAACTTTGCCATATAAATGGTCACACACTATCAGTGAATGCCTCAGGAAAAAATGAAAAATGAGAAGAAAAGAAAAAAATTTTCTAGTATGTTTGCTTTACTTAGTAAATTCAAGATTTACTAAGTAAAGCAAACATACTAGAAAAGATTTCAGATTAAAACACCAAATTAATAAATCAGATAAACAAACTAAATAAGAAAAAAACAACTACCACACCTGGAATTTTTTTGAACCTCCTTAAAGACACATAAAAGCCAAAATCACCTGAACATTTTATTGTAATTCAAGCAATAATTGGAGTAAAAAATGACTTTTTAAAAAGAGAGAAAAAATAATTATTTACAGCATTGGTAAAAACTCAAAAAAAGATACAAACTAGATGTATGAGTGAGCACTGCAAGAGAGTTGATTTTGATTTTAAAAATTAAAACTTAAACAAAACAGCAAGTAGAACTTCTCCAATTCTAGTAGAATTCAACAATACTTTAGTTTATGCAAACGCATTAAACTTATTCTGTGCTAAATAAGTATTTTTTAGCTCAGATTAATTAATCTATCTCTAATCCAATAGATCTATTTTCAATGGAGTGAGAAAATAAAAAAAAAACTAATAGTAGAGAAAAACAATAAAAACAATTAAAAGGAGTGAATAAAGAGAACAAACTTAGATTCATTTTAAAAGAGATTACTTGGTTAAAGTTAGTCTTGAAGGTAGGAAAACTATTACCACCCAGTAACTTAAAAATCTTCATGTGACTCATGCAACTCAAAAATCATTAAGTCAAATTTACCAACATTATTCAAAACAAATAATAAAATAATATATCAAACTATACTGAATGATGACTGCATTGAACCACAGTTCACAGCAATTTATCAATTCAATATCAAAAAACAGCATTTCATCGATTAACAAAGAAAAGCTACTGCTATGTTCTTGATGTGCAATGCAAATACTTCTCTAATGACCATACTATAATTATTATAAAACAATACTTCTCAAATGACCATAAAAGACAAAAAAACTGAATGCTTTCTCATATCTAACAATTTTGATAGACTTTTGATTTCTGTGGATTTCAACTGTATTAACATCAAAAGGGATGAAGATAGTAACCCATTCTACTCAAATATTGAAATTTAATCTAGTTTTATCGACACTATAAATGTTTGTCATTTTTTTAAACATGTATATTTCCTAACATATTATAAAAATTTTAAAGAAGTGTTGAAAAAACCCAACAATAAATTTATTATTTACTGAGTTGAAAAAACAAATCTAAAATCAAGTTTAGCAAATGATAACAAATGTGTACTCTTTTCTGAAATTGTAATATTACACAAACTAGAAAAAAATAATATTTACAAAATTGATTGGAATTTATGGTGCTAGTTGGTATGTTCTAAAGAACAGTGCCATTTAAAAGTTTCAATCTATGTTCATTACCATATCAATGGAGCCAAGCAAATGTAACCTCATTTTACAAAAGCAACAGTTTTAAAAGCAAATGCTGGGCAATTTCAGTTACATTAGTCATTGGTGAAAAAAATGGAAAGTAAAACTCAGAACTTCATGGTGAAATGTTTAATAACTAATCACAACAACATGGTTTCATGGCAAAAAAAGAGTTTTGTAACTGATTTGATAAGTGTCAAGATTTTCTTTAAACATAGTTTTATTCAGCCAAAATTTTACTGACTGTTTAATCATTTAACACCTTATCACATGATTATGTTATCTATTAAATTAAATTGTACAATTTTAATAATAAGTTTTTTATATGGATAAAATTAGTCAGACTAGTGCCAGATAAACAGTAAAGTCATGCAAGGATTAGTAATTGGACTGCTTCTGTTCAAAATACTCATAAAAAACCTCCTTTGTCAAATTTTCTAGGAGACAAATATGTACAATGACAAAAGTAAAACTCTTGCAGATGGGTAAAATCACTTATTACTAAAATTAAGATTTTCTTTTTTGTATAACATAGCATTATTGTGATATTTTATAAATTTTTTCAGTGGATTTGCAGTGGACCTATATAGACATTTTTTAGCAGTTTATTGGAGTTTAACTCATCATTTACTTAGTGGACCAGTCATGGCAGCCGCTATAAATGGCAGGCTGATAATTTTCCAACATTTTAATAGTGTATAATTATCAGTAAGCCACTTTTGTTGGCTGCCAGTAATGGTTCACTAAGTAACCGATGGGCAAAACTACAGCAGTCTGCTCAAAATGCCTATTTAAGTCACTGAAATTTTGTTATAGCATGTTTACTGGGTACATACATACATACATACATACATACATACATACATACATACATACATACATACATACATACATACATATATATCTATATGTATATATGTATATATATATATCTATATATATATATATATATATATATCTATATATATATATATTTATATATATATATATATATATATATATATATATATATATATATATATATATATATATATATATATATATATATATATATATATATATATATGTATATATATATATATATATATATATATATATATATATATATATATATATATATATATATATATATATATATATATATATATATATATTATATATATATATATATATATATATATATATATATATATATATAGCAAGCATTGAGGGTTGTATTATTGGAAAGATGAACACCTTTTGCTTACTAAATGTTTTACGTAACTGACCAGTCCATATTTTTCTTACTGAAACCAATATGGTCTCATATAATCTTTTGAAAAAGACAAAGTATTTTAACATGAACATCATCAAATGAAATTGCACAAATGTCTTTAAATTGTCACAATACTTGGTGCAAAACCAAGCGAATGGTGAAATATAAATGAAATTTCAGAGGCACCTACAAATAGATTTCTTTTTTACCATTTTTGGAACAGTGATTATGATTATGTGTGCTATGAGTCAATTTCAGTTGTCTTGTTTGGGGTTTGCTTTTAAAACTACCAGTTTCTTGATATTGCTTTAATATTTTATAATTCATTTATTTATTATCTTAAACTGTGAAGCAAGAGAGTTAATTGCCAATCCTTATTACATTTTTCAATTTTTATTACCTTATTTCAATTTTTTGTTTAAGAATCAACAAACTAACCTAATAATTATAAATATATTGTTATTATTTTTGTTGTTGCTGTTTTTGTTAATTAATGTTAAACTTATTACTATTGTAGTCATTGTTATTGTTATTATTTTTATTGTTATTATTTTAATTGTTATTATTTTTATTGTTCTTCTTCTTACTATTGTTATTATTTTTATTGTTATTATTATTATTATTATTGTTGTAGTTTTTGTTATTGTTTTTCGTGTAGTTTTAATATTATTTATATTATCTCTGTGTTATAACAATTGTTTTGATGTTTACTTTAAATTAGATTACAGTTTAAAAAAAGACAACAGCATACATCATACATGATCTGACTCCATCCTTCACATGTGATACATGTAAATACTGTTAGCATACTCAGTAACATATTATCAAATGAAGCAATGCCATATGAAGGACCTTCAAAAGTTCCATTACAATAAGTACCAGGTTCACATTGAAATCCGTTTTTACCACACAATTGTGGTTTGTCGTTATTTAAATCTAAATTCCGAAAAGAAAAACGATAAAAAATTATACAGCACATATTTTGTAAAAAGATTATATAACAAAAAATGCTTGAAAGCAATATATACATATATATATATATATATATATATATATATATATATATATATATATATATATATATATATATATATATATATATGTATATATATATATATATATATATATATATATATTTATATATGTATGTATATATATATATATACATATATATATATATATATATATATATATATATATATATATATATATATATATATATATATATATATATATATATATATATATATATATATATATATATATATATATGTACATATATACATATATGTACATATATGTACACACATATATATATATATACATATATATATATATATATATATATATATATATATATATATATATATATATGTACATATATACATATATGTACATATATGTACACATATATATATATATATATATACATATATATATATATATATTATATATATATATATATATATATATATATATATATATATATATATATATATATATATATATATATATATATATGTACTATATATATATATATATATATATATATATATATATATATATATATATATATATATATATATATATATATATATATATATATATATATATATATATATATATATATATGTACATATATATATATATATATATATATATATATATATATATATATATATATATATATATATATATATATACATATATATATATATATATATGTACATATATATATATATATATATATATATATATATATATATATATATATATATATATACATATATATATATATATATATGTACATATATATATATATATATATATATATATATATATATATATATATTTATATATATATATATATATATATATATATATATATATATGTACATATATATATATGTACATATATATATATGTACATATATACCGGTATATATGTATATATGTACATATATACCGGTATATATGTATCAACCCCGGTATATATGTACATATATACCGGGGTTGATATTTGACCAGGGCCAGGTTTGTGACCGGGGCTGCATTAATATTTATGTTCCTTATAAATATATTATTGTTATTTAAAATTCATGATATATTTTATATAAAGGTATATATATCATCTCATCGTCATCATCATTCTGATGATGATGATGATGACAATGATCATCATCATCATCATCTTAATCATTGGCATCATTATCATCTTCTCTGGTACACACTATAAATATAATTACTACTCTCATACTATCTCTAAGATCATTGCTTTTTTTCCTATTTTTTAAAGACACCATGTATCCATCTGATCATTGCTTTTTTTCCTATCTTTTAAAGACACCATATATCTACTTTGTTCTTTCCGGATGAAAGAACAAACAAGCCAGCAACCTGGATATTCTAGAAAAGTCATCGTGTAATAAATTGATTATTTGAAATTTTTAAACAAAGTTAATAATTTGAAGAAATATTTAAAAATTGCTAACAATCAGGGTGTTTAAAATATCTTAAAATAAATTTCATAAGATAAATTTATTGTAAAATTGCATTTACATTTAAAATGTAAGTAACTTTTTAATTGTAATTTTAATCATTAGAATTACATAGTTGAGCTATTCAAGTATTTAAATGTAAAGAAATTGATAAATACTAGAAAATAGTTGAATTTACTTTTGTTAGCCCCGGCTAGTAACCCCTGCAAATTGTGTTTGTTTAGCCGGGGCCGAGTTTGCAAAAACCTCTGTTTTTAGCAGGAGCCGGGGACCCGGTCACTTACTAATATATATATATATATATATATATATATATATATATATATATATATATATATATATATATATATATATATATATATATATATATATATATATATATATATATATAATATGTTGCTGCCATTTTGCAACCTTGGTACAACAAAGTGATTACTATACTTTTTCAATTTAAATATTTTAACAAAACTTTGCTTTTTCTATTTATTACTTCAAAGTACTTTTATGACTAAAAATTACTTGCTTCCACTTCTTCAAAGATCACCCAATATTCTCCTTACATCACCTAAATCTTGTGAA